TTATTTTCTATAAATCAAATTATAATTAGCAAACATTAAAATAAATCATAAAGCCTAATAAACAGTAATAAAATTATAAATAAAAAATGTAACTTGAAGAAAAATCAATAAAATGAAGGTATAATAATTTCCACTGGACCTTCGATAAGTCATGAGAACAGTCACGAGAACACAAAAGAATTAAGTGAAATTACTTTCATTACTAAAGTACGACCTTTTTTTCTGGTTCTAAATGAAAAAATTTCCATGATGTAATTTATATTGGTATATTAATGAGAGGATAAGGTTTATTTGAAACTAATTCAGGATTTTAAATATATATTTATCCATTCAATTCTTTGCTAAGTTTTGAATTCACGATCAAGATTTATACTTTCTATTTTGTTAAAAAGAAACCTCTAAACACTTTTATTTATAAGAATTAAAAAGAGTATAAATTTACTAAAAAAAATAAAAACACTCTGATTAGTTCCATACCTAAAAAAAATCAGTCATACAATTTATCATGAATCAAAGGAATATATATGAAATTGGCTCAATCAAGACAAAACAAAAGTATGGATGAACATTAAAAATTCCCATCTGTTTAAAATGTTTACAGCTTTCATGGAGTAAATATAACTTTATTTTTAAACAATCAAGACATTATTGAAGTGCTTTTTATAAATCATGATTAAATCTCTTCCTAACAATAAGTTAGATTAGATATCTATACTAATCTAATGAATTAACAATAACTTTTTCTTGCTATCTTTTTCTAGGACCAATAAGAGATGATAATATTGCATAAATTTAAAAACTAGAGACCAAAATATAATGTTACTAAAACTATAAGAGCTAAAATAATGTTTTAGCCTTAAAAACTTAACAACCATAAGAATATCACACAATTATGTTCTAACAAAAGTCAAAAAAAAAAAAATCAAACATTGAAGAGAAAGGTGATATGGTATGGAAGTCCCACATAAAAGCACCACATCATGGCCTTCTAAATGTCATGGGATTTGAGTGTCTGTAGTCAATCTCTTGCCAGAGAAATTGTAAGTAGTAGTTTTTTAAAGAATTTTTTTTTTTATATAATTTGATTGACTTTTCATTTTAGGTTATATATCTGGATATTATCTCCTTCATCAAAGTAGATTGTGGCAATAACATCCCTAACATTTTTATCTATAGAAGACCTAATAAAATTCTCAATTAAATCTGGGATTAGGGAATTGATAATCCAACCTTTAACAATTAAATTTTTTATTTTTCATTTATTGTATGTTGGGTCGGTAAGTATTGATTGTTTGATTTCACCCTGTCTACTATGATACCATGTCAACAGTGTTTAGATAGACTAGAGTTAATTGTTTGTATCAATTCATTATGTTATTTTTTTATTGTACAAAATTTGTACATACAATAAATTTTTTTAAAGATGGAAAACTAAGAATAAAAATATATAATTTTTTTTCTAAACTTAGTTTCTAATTTTTAATTTTTCTCTAAATCAACAATTAATTATTATCAACAATTTTAGCCTTGAAAATATAATAGCCATGAGAGTATAAGAGTATCGCGCGGTGGTATTCGACTAGAGTCAGAAGGAGAAAAGTCAAACATTAAAGAGAAAGATGACATGGCATAGCAGTCCCACATGGCCTTCTAAACGTCATGTTGTCTCTGAGCTTACAAAGCATGACAAATTGATGAGTAGATTGGTTTTTTTTATATATACATAAAGATATAAATTGCATTATAACGTCAAAAAAAATATGAAAAAAATGAGAATAATGAACCATTGTTCTCTATTTTTCGTAATTTATATTCAGTAAACGAGGACGACAACAAGACTTGCAAGTTAGTTTTTATTACATTCATATCCTATTTATTATCTATAATAAAAAAATTAAATATTTATAGAATTTTCAATAGACTTGAAAAGGGCCCATCATCTAAAGAAACTTCTTCTGAGTAGACCCACAACTTGGAGGGGTGATTGTAGGAGGAGCCCATTTAGGTCTTGGAGACAAATTCCATATCTTCTTGTATTGATCCAGCACAATCAATATGAAATCAGAACCCAGCCCGTGCTGCTCCCTTGCTTGATACCAGTCATGCCAATGGATTTACATCAGCTCAGTATTGTATTAATAGTTTAGATATGAACTATGGAGTTCTGAGTGATACCCACACATGACGACTCCAAAGTCCAAACCCTGGCCATGGAGAAAAAATGGGATCCTATTACAAAAAAAAATCTGGAAGGGGAGGTAAAAACATGAATTGTTATTCTGTATATATTGCACTGTGACTGCGGTCACAATGTTTGTACTATTTTGCTCTCTAAGAAACCTAATAGGCTGATTGTTGACGGTGAGATTGTCTTTCTGGGCATTTCAAACTCGACGAAGGATAGGACAAGCATTTTGCTTTCTATTTTCACAGTCACTCTGCCTTCTTTCGATGACGCTTGCAGTTAGTTTTGGTGGTCAAAAGTCTTTTTCTAGGATGGTTGATTTGTATCGGTGGTGCTTTCATGACCTGACGGCGCGTGCACCATATGAACCTTCTATTTAGCATTGTCAGCCATTTTTCTTTCCTTCTTCTTGGTTTTTTTGGGCCTGTCCACCAATTATTCAAATTAACCTCTTAACTTTTTTTTTTAATTTAGTTTATATTCTTTTAATTACTATTTATTTTATTTAAAATTATTAATAAAAGTATAATTTTATTTTAATTTCATTCTCATTTAATTTTATTTATTTATTTATTTATTAAATTGATCCCTATTTTTTTAATTATTATCTATAAAATATAACATAATTTTTAGAATTGATTTTTTTAATTATTTCCCACTTCATTTTTTTCCTATTAGATTTTATTTTTATTTTTTTGATTATTATTTTTTTTGTTTTAATAAATTTTTTAAATTAATTTTTTAAATTTTATCTTTTGATATTAAATTATTACTAAATCATATGTTTTTTTCTATGTCATCATATAGCTTTTAAGGTTTGTATTGTATTGGCAAACCTTTTTGGTAGTAAGAGATGTCCTGGTGGAGTTACGATGAGTCTTCAATAAATTTTATTTATTTATTATTTTTGGTATAATATTAATAATTTATTTTTTAAAATAATTATTTTTAAATATTTTTCTTTATAATTCGTATGAGGTAGTTGCTTACTTTTTAAATCAAATTATTTGATTTTATTGGATCCAATTAAATTAATAATCTAAGTATCAATTTTTTTTTAAAAAATAATATCATTAAATAAATATTTTTTTTATATTAAATAAATTTAGATAGCACCCAGCACAATGAGCCAACGATATAATATACTCTAGTGTATTAGATATATATTATATTATATTAAAAAATATATATAAATGGTACACATACATATATGTATGTATGTATATATAATACTATTATTATATGTTTTGTGTCGAGTTTATATATATATATATATATATAAAAAAAAAAAAACTTACATATTTAAGTCGGATCGGGCAGGTATTAGTCGGATTAAATTATCATTCACAGCTGTGGCCCTATTTTCATCAAGTGAGACACATAACTTGACACTGCCTCGATTTCACACTGCCTCAATTTCAGGAGCAGACTTCCAAAGTTCAAATCAATGGGTCAATTTATTCCTTCACCGTCAAAAAAAGAGACAAGAAGTCAGAAACTTCGAACTTGAGCTCCGATCATCACGCCTCGATCATCATATGTTCTTCACTTTGCTTGAGACAGAATCAAAGAGTGGTGTGAAACATGTCTGTAACTAATCAATAATTATATTTGGTCACCTGGGCCACACGAAGCATAATACTCATGTTTACTTGTTTTAACAGAATCCTGTGAGCTAATATATTTCTAATACACATAGAGTATGCTACATAGAGTAAAAATTCAACACAGATTCACTGTTTCAAAACATACTCATATTATTTTGATTCTTAAAAATAAAAAATTCAGATAATTTTTTAAAAAATTCAATCAATCCAGCTTGGACAAGATAAATCAACATTTTTTTAGTCTAAATTATAACTTATTCAAATCAATATAAAATTATAGATTTTCAGATTAATTTACCATGTCACTCTAAATTTAATAATTATAGATAAAATATATTGTTTGTGATAATTTTTTTTAATATTAATAAATAAAACACCTTTTATTTTGCTTGTTTTTTATTGTGATAAAGATTATAGTTTAAAGTTTTTTTACTAAAATAATTTTTTTATTTTTTAAAAAATATTTTTAATATTAACATGTTAAAATGATTTGAAAATATATAAAAAAATATTAATTTTAAATATATTTTTTAAAAACAAAATTGAGGGACCAAACAGGGCTAAAATTCATAATCTTGTGCCACTTTCATGAAATTGAGAAAATTGGTGCTGAGAAGCCCACAGGCCATGAAGAGTTACTATCTGCACAAAGCCATAAAGTGCTAACAGTCCTAGTAGAGAAGGCAGACCAAACCAAAGTAATAATAATGATGATGAAATATGCCCTACCATCCCTCTTTAGCTTCTCGCTTTATATGCCCTAAGCCATAATGTGCTAACAGTCCTGGTAGAGAAGGCAGACCAAACCAAAGTATTAATAATGATGATGAAATATGCCCTACCATCCTTCTTTCGCTTCTCGCTTTTCTTGTTGAGGCCTAACTAACTCAACTACTACGAAGCGATCGAGGACCCCAGATTTTAGAACACACTGGCCCTTCCTTGGAAGCAAAAGGAAGTGCTTTAAGTTTTGTGTTTGCTAGAGAAGCATCAGGAAGTGCTTTTTGACCAGGAACTCTGTGGGTATATTGTTTTCCAATAAAGATTTGGTGCCGTCTTGTGCCAGACAGTCTCAATGAAAGCACATGCAGCATGGCACTACATGCCATTATTTTCTACCCCACAATTTTCCCTTCCCTCAATCCACGCATAATTGTGCGGGCTACTAAAAATACAATGCTCGATAGTCTATAAAAGACTACGGGAAATGAAGCTTCAAACATAGCAAGAGAAGCCTAATTAAAATTTTCTTGATCTCTTGTTAGTCATTTCTCTAATGGCTTCTTTTGGTAAGCAGGTGTTTTTCTTCTTTTTTCTAGTGATTTTCTCCTCTATCCAAGCTAGAGAGAGCACGTTCTTTAGTAAGTTCACACATTATAGCATCACAAAAAACAATGGTAGGAAAGAATCCACCATTTCTTCAGTACCAATTCAAGCACCTACATTAGCACCAGCTCCAGCAATAGACTTTCTACCAGATGTGCCATTACTAGCACCAGCACCAGCACCGGTCCTCGGCGAGATTGAGGAGGGCTATGACCTTTTCGGTGAGGGATCAGGAACTTCCCCTCGTAAGGAGACTTCAACCACCACCACCACCACCACTGCCGTTGATGAAAATGAGCTTTTGAATGAAGAACTGGATGGTGTGCCCTTTGACCAGAAGTACGAAAATAGCAACTACAACAACAACGGCTACAAAGTTGGCAGTGCTAGATATGAGACAGGCAATCTAAACAACAATGGCTACAAAGTTGGCAGTGCTAGATATGAGTCAGGCAATCAAAACAACAATGGCTACACCAACAACTATTACAACAGTGGCTACAAACTAGCTAGTGAAAGCTACGAAACAGAGAATAAAAATAGTGAGAATGGCTACACCAACAACTACAACAACAATGGCAACACCAACAACAACTACAACAACAATGGCTATACCACAAACTATAATAACAATGGCTATGAGACTGAGAGACAAGGGATGAGTGACACAAGATTCATGGAGGGTGGTAAGTATTATTACCATGTGAAGAATACTGAAAGACAAGGAATGAGTGACACAAGGTTCATGGATGGTGGTAAGTACTATAACAATGTGAAGAATACTGAGAGACAAGGAATGAGTGACACAAGGTTCATGGATGGTGGTAAGTACTATAACAATGTGAAGAATACTGAGAGACAAGGAATGAGTGACACAAGGTTCATGGAGGGTGGTAAGTACTATAGCAATGTGAAGAATGAGAATTATTATCCTGCTAACGAGTACGTGTCAGGGAAGGTAAGCACTCAAAATCAAGGTTCATATGGAAATGATGAGAACCCACATGAATTCAACACCATGGAGGAGTACGAGAGCCAGGAGGGATATGAAGAAAGCCAGGAGGAGTCTTTACCTTGAATACTATTATTGTTGTTAATTTGTAGAGAAAGAAAAGTTAAAGAATTACAGAGGGAGAGCCTTTGATATATATTTGAGAGCAAGGCTAAGTTGTGAGGTCAAATTATCAATTTCCCATTTCATGTTTCATTTTCTTATTTGGTTTTGGGTCTTGGCACTATTTTTCATGGTTTGTGACTCAAAAGGGATGGGGATTCTACAGTTTTTCACTTTCGAGTGAAACATTGTCCTATCAAGGATCTTTAATTTGAGCATCCATTGAGTTCTTCAAAAATATAGCACATGAATGCATGAAATGAAGTTCGGTGTGGTTAAATTATTTTGTTACAGTGTAAATTTTTCACTCAAATCTCATTAATGTTGGAGAATCTTATAATATATGGCTGGAGTCGTAATAACTCTTTTGTGACTAGTAAAAAAGTATACAAGTTAGCCCAAGAAGCTGAAAACCCCCTCCCTGCCTACAACTTGAGCCTCCCAACTTCTCTTACCAAGCTAAGATGTTAATTTCAATGGAAATTTGTGCCGAGGATCTTGATCTTCTCATGGAAACAGGATTAGGTACACTAAATTGCATTAGTTTCTGCCAGCGGTACCTAAAAGCACCAAAAACAGCAGTGGCGTTGCAAGCCGGACAATGCCAAATTCACCAAAATGCAGTGGAAATTAGGCCTTCATTCTTGAAATGCACTTTATCGAGTGATGAGGCCCCTGATCACTGGCAACTGCTTCAGCACAACTTGCAGAGCAAAATATATTTCAACTGTTGGCTATACAGAGTTCCAAATTCCAGATATAACAACACAGGCAAGCAAACATCTGACTCTGTTGCTTGGACAGAGGACAAAACATAGCATTTTGGATATCTTGGTTTCTAACCTGCTGCATCTTTGGCCGGCAGTGCAGTTGTCTCTTTCAGGAATAGGCAATATCTCGAGTTTAATCCTGAACATGGAATCACCAAGAAAAGTAATCTCTTGTTTTCATTTCTATTCTACTCAAATTCTCATGGAGGTATGTTGTAGAAAATCTGACATCAAGCATAGCTGCCATCAATCTGTGGCTTACACAGAATCTACATTGCCATTAGCCGGTGTAACTTAGACCAAAACATAATGGCCACCCTGCTGTGGAAAGCATTGTTCAAGTACAGAAATACAAAGAAAATGACTGGTGGTGCTCAGGTAATAGCAGAGTGATAGATTTATGACGAAAATTAGCTTTCAGATTATGCCTTTTCCTTTTGACAAGCAGCAATACCTAGCTGGAATGGCCTAGCTGCAGAGCAATCAAACGAGAAAGGATGTCTTGTAGCAGTTCAGACTTCATAACACTACCAATCAAGTATGCTTCTGTATTTCCAGCAGAAGGAAGAAAATTTGAACTAAAATGTCAATAAAATAATTGACTAACCAGTAGTGTGTGGTCATCTGTAAACCTTGCAGACAAACCTTGTGCCACTTGAGCACAGTAAACGTTTATTTTAGGACCAATCTGTGCTTCATATTCTTTAAGGTTAACATTCAAAAAAATTCTCTTGATGCATGATTATCTTGGAAAACTTTGGAACTCACAGATAGTTTACGACAAGAATATGAAATGGACTAACAATAACAACAACATGATTATATGACAAATCCTGTTCTGATGAAAATAAAATGGCCTACGGTAATAGCAGAAGGAATCCCAAATGTAATTTATAAAAACATAGGTGCGAGACTGAGAAATTAGTAAAAACCTAAGCATGTTGGACTACTGGCAGAATTGTGTTCTTGCTTAATCTTTTTATAATCTTGCCTTTAATCTAGATTCTGCAGATGAGAGAGATCATGGCCCAATCTTCTCCTCTCTCAGCATCACACCTTTTTTCCCAGCAAAGGATAATCAATAATTTGAAGATACTCAAGGGATGAGGACATCCTCTCTTCTGCCCGAGAAGTGCTTCGCAGGTTTTTATTTTTATGCTTCCATGTTCAGTTTACTGCCAAATGCTTGCGTTTTCTGCTCTGAATATTGCCCAGGCTCTCCCTTCTTGATGCTATATATTATACATGGGTGGGAACGAATGACTTTAATGGAAGAAACATTCGAGATTGAGACATCGATCCAATGGACCTCTCAATTTCCCGATTTCTTCTACTTGAACTCGTTGAAGTAGGGTTGATTAACACTACATGTTCAATGTATCTACTTTGGAGATTTTTGCCTACACAGTCTTGAGGTGCTCCTCAGCTGAAAACAGGCATCGAGCCTCTTGCTTCTCCCAGGTGTGTGAACCTACTATTGTACATATTCCCAAGACATTAGTCTTCAATTCTTCAACAACTCTTAAATTCAATTATAAAATTTTAACTTCTACAATTCCTTTTGATTTTACTAGATCAATTCATTTTGAAATCTAAATTTTAATCAATAAGGAATTAAAAATGTTACGTGTCTTGTCATATAATTCAGTCAACATATATAAATATCAAAAGATCTAAGCAACACAAGCTTTTGTATTATATAATCTCATAAATAAATTAGGATTTTATATATATATAAAATCCTAAAATTTCATGATGGGTGGTTCATTCTCAACTCTCCATATTAATCTTTAAGAATTATTTTATTTAATATAAGATGTGTTTACAAACATTCAATACTTTTATTAATTTTGAAAATATTTAAAGTGAATTCATGGAATTCGAATTTTCATAGTTTAAGAGGAGATCCTCAATTACTTCGAAAAATATGATCATTAATCTAATAAAAGGGAATTAAAATGCAAATAAAATATAATTAGAAAATTAATGATGGCTTAGTTCTTCAAGAAAAAAGAATCATTTCCCATATTATTCTCTTCAAATTCTTAGTAGCTTGAGCTTTATTGAAGCATTGAGTTTATTGTTACATCCACATATCATACGGACCTCTCAATCACGAGCTCGTTGAAGGAGGCTTGGTCAAGCACTGGAAGTGCATCTGTTCATAATACAAGTGCAATATGTTCCACACAGGCAATTTTTGCCTACACAGTCTTGCGGTACATTGCAGCTGAACACAGCTATTGGGCCTCTTGCTGCTCCCAGGTGTGCACCTACAATTGTTCATATTTCAAAAATATTACTCGACATGGTATTCTTCTAGGAAAAAAAAAAAGATTCACTACCAAAAGCTAATTGAAGAGGGAAAACACTGTTTATATCGCTGTTTATTTTAATAATGTAATGGTCATTTTATCATTAAAAAAATATAATTAGCTAATTGAGTTAATTTGGTATATCTATGTGGTTTATTAGTTATTTTTAAATTAATTTAGGGTAAATAGATTTTTTATATTTTAAAAATATGATAAAATAAGTAAATTATCTTGAAAATATATTTTTTTTATTTGGTGTTCATAGGCTTTTTCATAGTTACATTATGGTTTTTTAGTTATAATTAAATTGGATAAGCAGAAATTTGGTATTTTAATAAATATAAATTAAATTTTAAAAAATAACTAATTATTGTTTATATATATATATATATTAATATTGGGTTTGTTGGAAATTTAATTTTATTATTTTTTAATTTTTTTATAGGATTATTTTGATCTCATATGTTAAATCGTAAATTTAATATGTTAATCGTGATTGATTCTATTTTAAAAAAATACATTTATTTTAGATTTTACTTTTTAATATTATGTTGGTTTGACAATATCAAGTTTTGTATTTTATTTCATTTATTTTTTATAGGGTTATTCTAATGTTATGAATGAGTTATGAATTTGTAGGTGTTTTGTCCTTTTAAAAAAAATCAATTTCATCCTTCAATATTTATTTGCTAAGAAGTAGGTTATATTATATATATATATATAGAATTATTATATTTTATTTTATTTTTATTTTGTTATCAAATAAAATAATATATAAAACCCTTTTAAGAATACCTTGGATGGTATAATTTCATGGTACTCACAATGCATTTTTTATAATTAATTATTATTATTTTTTATTTGATTTATCTATTATTATTGTTTTTTTAATTATATTATTAAATTAACTAATCTTATATCAGATCTTAGTTTTAAATTTTTTTATTTCTTAATATTTTTTTAGATTAAAAAAATTTGATCTTGACTCATGGTATATATTGGGCCGCCAATATAGTATAAAATAAAACATATATGCTATTTGTGTGCACGCGCGCGTGAGAGAGAGAGAGAGAGAGAGGAACAAGATGCAGCCAGCAAAAGCACGACCAAAAAAGCCAACGTGAATGAAGACTTCTCTGTCATATAATTCAGTCAACATATATAAACATCAAAAGATCTACATGGAAATAATATTGGCATAAATAATTCAGATTTATTGTTCATAATTTTATTCATTTTGGTCCTCAAACATAATCTAAGCAGCACAGGCTTTTGTATTATATAATATCATAAATAAATTAAGATTTTATATATATAAAAAAACCCTAAAATTTCATGATGGGTGGTTCATTCTCAACTCTCCATATTAATCTTTAAGAATTATTTTATTTAATATAAGATGTGTTTACAAACATTCAATACTTTTATTAATTTTGAAAATATTTAAAGTGAATTCATGGAATTCGATTTTTCTATAGGGTTATTCTAATGTTACGAACAAAGTCATAAATTTGTAGGTTTTTTGTTGTTTTTTAAAAAATTTAATTTTATCTTTCAACATTTAATTTACTAAAAATTAAGTTATATATATATATTTCACTTTCTATAAAATTATTATATTCTATTTTATTTTTACTTTGTTATCAAATAAAATCATATATAAAACCTTTTTTGAGATTATCTTAAAGGGTATAATTTCATAATACTCACACTGTATTTCATATAATTAATTATTATTATTATTTTATTTTATTTATCTATTATTGTTGTTTTTTTAATTATACTATTAAATTAACTAATATTATATTATATCTAATCAAGTTAAAGATGTTAGTTTTAATTTTTTTTTTAATATTGTTTTAGATTAAAAAAATTTGATCTTAACTCATGGTATATATTGGGCCGCCAATCTAGTATAAAATAAAACAAATGTGCTATTTCTCTCTGTGTGTGTGTGTGTGTACGTGCGTGTAAGAGAGAGAGAGAGAGTAACAAGATGCAGCCAGCAATAGCACGACCAAAAAAGCCAGCGTGAATGAAGACTTCCCCATATCTTTTGGGATGTTTCTGCGAAAATGCTTTAGATTGCAAATGCCAATTGCTTGTGTTTCTATCTGTAAATATTTCTCAGGTATATATATATATATATATATATATATATATATATAAATATTTCTCAGGCTTCAAAAAAATATAGG